GGCAGTTAATTTGCATACTGCAGGCAGGACTGGCCAGCGCCAGACGCCATCCGGGCCCCGTGTGCGGCCCTGAGCAGCCGGGCTTAGGCGGTGCGATCGGGTCCCCTAAACCCCACCCCAGCCGGGACCCCCGTGTGCTGTCTAAGCCCTGCCCCCAGCCAGGACCCCAGTGTGCCACCTAAGCCCCACTGCCAGCTGGGACCCCATGGCGATCCCAGAGCAGGCAAGTGTGGAGGGCAGGTGGCCCCCAGGTGGGCCTGCTCCTGGGATTGCCATGGCTGGGCTGAGGGAACCCCACCCCCCAGCGCACGAATTTTGTGCACCGGGCCTCTAGTCCTATATGATAAAAGCCTAATATGCTAAGTGTCCAGTCAACTGGTCGTCTGCTCAACCAATCAAAGCATAATATGCTAATGATATGCTAAGGCCACTCAACTGCTCACTTATGACATGCACTGACCACCAGGGGGCAGACACTCTGACCAGTAGGTTAGCTTACTGCTGCTGGGGTCTGGCCGATTGGGACTGAGCAACATGAGCCAGACGTGCCCTGGAGCCCTCCCGTGGTCCCTCTCTGGTTGGCCAACCTCCTGCGTCTCTCACACAGCCCCGATCCTGCACCAGTGGGATCCCTCGGCCTGGTCTGTGCCCTCTTGCAATCCAGACCCCTCAGGGGATGTTGGAGAGCCGGTTTTGGTTTGATCCCGCAGGCCAGGCCAAGGGACCCCCTCCCCCCCGGTACACAAATTTGTGCACCAGGCCTCTAGTTGGATTATAAACCTCATCTATTTATCTTATATACATGTATACATATTTACATATATTTATTGTGGTAAAATACACATATAAGTTGCCATCTTAATCATTTTTAAGTGTATAGTTCAGGGTTTTAAATACATTTACATTGTTGTGCAACCATCACCACCATCCATTCCCTTAACTCTTTTAATCTTGCAAAACTGAAACTTTATACTCATTAAACAATAATTCACCTTTTTCTCCATTATACTTTCACCATTATACTTTCTTTGTTTATGATTTTGACTACTTACTCTAAAAACCTTATATAAGTAGAATCATAAAATATCTGTCTTTTTGTAATTGGATTATTTCACTTGGCATAATGTAATTATTTTAGGTATATACCCAAACACCTATTTATTTTTGCACTGGCTCCAAATAGCTTGAGTAATTTAAATAACCAGACTGTTAATTAGACTGCCCATTTGACATGAACAAATCCACTCTTCTTTCATAAAAAAACCATGTATTAAAAGCTTTCTTTGGTGTCAGGCATGAACTAGCTTCTGGAGATATAGTAATAGCAAAAATAACTTAGAAATATATTATAACAGAACACTTTCTTTGATTTAGAAAAACAAACCAACCACCAAACAGAGCTGAATATATTGATCAATGTCCATCCCTGTGATAAAAGATGAAGATGATTTGAGAATTCAGTGTTCTTTTTTACCTCCACTTTTATTCCTGTTCTGCTGTCAGGACTCAGATCAAGATTATTTGTTTTTCCGTTATTCCATAAGGAAGTTCTAAAGGATGGCATTCAAACATTTTCTAAGTAATTCAAGCATGGTATCAATTGAGTAACGGCCAAGGGCTGATTTAAAATCTCTTCTGTAATAATACTCACAAGGAATTTTAGGGGTGGGAAAAGGGGGAAAGGAGTAACATGGGTGTAAGAATTCTAGATTAACTCATCCATAGTTTAGTGACCAAAAATTTTCCATGTCTTGTTTCATTTCTAGCTTTTTTTCCCTACCTTATTTGCTCACTGAAAGATTTTTCACTTGTTGCCCAAACCAAAGGAAATTTGTGGAAGGATCTAACCACAGGCAAGTGAACTGTGTCTTTTACTCCAAACTGATGCTTTCTGTAACATACAGTAGAAAGACAAGAGTATCAGGGAGCACACAGTGGTCCACATGGCCAGGGAAGGCCTTATTGGCAGATGTAATTCATTCTTAGAGGTAGTGAAAGTTTCCGTTCAGGTGCCATTGCACATCTCGGCTCATGTCATCTTGGCTGACAAGCAGTGGTGGGTGATGCAAGACTGCTGATGCTAGGGGCCAAATGAAGAGTAAGCTTATTCAGCCAATTCTCCACCAAGAGGAAGGAATGGCCAGAGAATGCCAAAGTGACCAGGAACCTAAAATTATGCCTGGATTTTTAATATGATTGAGAGGGAAGGGCCACTTGGGTCTTTCACAAAAGGGACTTTTCCCTGGGTTAGAGCTGCAGCAGTTCCCAGCCTTCTAGAGCAGCTATCAGAAGGAAGGAAGGGGTGGATGTGAGTTCTTGTGGCTTCAGGAGCTTTCTTATCCTTTCAGATCTTCGCTCAGTTGTGAATTCTTCCATTAAGCCCCCCTTAATTCTATAACTTGGAGTAATTTCTCTCTTCTTTGCAACCATGTCCTCTCCTCTGCTACTAAATATTGTATCTCTTATGCCATATTCATGCTGAGCTTCACAACTAAGCCTTTGTATACTCACCTGCCCTTACTGTGCCTGGCCCAAGCTAGGTATTTAAAAACAGGTTTAAAAAGTGGGTAAATCTGACCGAAGAAGACCTACGATTCCTTAAGTCAGTTAGGTCACTATCAGTGCAGCAAGTAGGGTTTCCTGTGGTCTTGGCAGGGAGGGAAATCTGGGAACACTGGGGAGAGCTGGAATGGGGTCTATTGGCCATAGTATTTCAAATACAAACAGAGGGAGTACACTACATTGAAATTAGGATGTAGCTTTTTAAATCATTATCCGTGCAACTATTTGCTCATTTCATTAAGATGGTTACCATGCCAAAATGTTACATTGGCATAAATAGTAAACTTTTCCTATGAATGGCTTTCTTTTAGGTAATTTTACTAAAAATAAATCACAGTAGGCAAGTCCACACTATTGGTATCCTCATTTCACAGCTCGGATGCCTGAAGTGTGTCCTGTCCTTATATCCTTATGGATCTTATTCTCTTAATTAGGGAGTGCCAGGAAAGTTCTCTTATTCCATTTTCCCTGAGAATGTACTCACCTCAGAAATGAAAATCCAACTTGTATTATTAGTACTCATCATTTTACACAAAATCAACATTTCAAAAAACACTTTGAGGTCTCATGTAGGTCCAAATTGTTATCATTATTCAAGTGACATGAAAGGTACTGTTCTGTTTTAGGCTTATTATGTTAGGACACTAAAGAAGGCCTGAGCTCGGTGATGTGTTTGATGGTGTTCAATGAGTCCTTTCCATTACATTTGATTTGGCATGTGTGGTAATATTGTAGTCTTCAATAGGAACACAGATAAGCGCAGTTAATACATTAAAATTAATCATACTGAAGATCAGCAAGAAGGGCGAATAGTCTTTGAGTTCCTGCAGGGACTAAAGTTTAGTTAATTAATTAAAAAGATAACCGATTCTTTATTTCTATAAAAAAATGTACCTTTAAAATACAAATCTCTTGCAGTTCAAGTTTTTGTATTTGAGCTACTTACCACAGAGGAACACTGGAGTTACATATAATTAGAGTGGATCATAATATTTTCACTATTTTATAGATGAGGAATGTTAGTAATACTGTGAAAAAAACACCTAGTTCAGGTTCTTTGGAGAATCACTGATAGGCCCAATGACAACCCATATTCTTGCCTGGAACACTACAGTATACTTTTCAGAAGGGTGAAAATACTTTTATAATTTACAAGTTATGCAAAGAATAAAATAAAAAAATATTTCAGAAACTTCAATCTTTTTTTAAAGTCACTAAAAAAATATATATATCTACATTAAAAACCATACAAACCTGAGTTCATACTGGGCACTAACGGCTAAAAAAAAAAGAACACTAGCATTTATTTAGAATGTGAAAACATGTTTGTATAAAAACATGTATCTATCATCAGTCTCTTTTCCATAGCTTTTGCAATTAAATGTAAGCTCTTTATAGTTTTTTGTCTTTTTTTTTGGTTAATTCTCACCATAGGATATTTTTCCATTGCTTTTCAGAGAGAGTGGACGGAGGGGAGAGAGAGAGAAAGCGGGGGGAGAGGGAGAGGGAGAGAGAGAGGAAGAGGGAGGGAGGGAGAGAGAGAGAGAGAGAGAGAGAGAGAGAGAGAGAGAGAGACACGCATTGATGTGAGAGACACATCAACTGGTTGCCTCCCACATGTGCCTTGAACCAGGAGGGGGCAGGGAGCGAACCCACAACCCAGGTACATGGCCTTGACCAGTTATTGAACCCAAGATCCCCCAGTGCATGGGCCATCGCTCTACCCACTGAGAAATACCGGCCAGGGCTTTATATTTTTCATTTTTAACAAGGATTAAATTTTAGTGGTTTCAGAAAAAAGAAAATCATTAGATGTCCTATAAATTGGTAATTTTATCCCCAAAACTGTTCATGCTTATATTGTATTCTGAGGTACAGTCTTCACAGAGACTAAATTAGAGTGAGAGCAAACAACAGAACAAAATAGGTGAGGGAAATATTTATGTCAGCTGTTGAAAACTAAAGGCAAGGACTAAAAGCCCTTATCTCTGGCATGTTCAGTATGGAATGCATAGTTGATTTTCATTCAGCCACTAGAGAAAGGTATTCTACAGTGACAGAGCCTTCTCAACATTACAACTAGTTGGCTTCCTCTACAGAGAACAGCAGATGGCTAAGTAAGACTGAAGCGAGAGCTCTTACCTGTTTCCTTGGAAATGACTCCCCTGTCATGGACATTTTGCCAAGTGGTTAGGTCTAGCATGAGCATGTGATTTCTAAAAGAATGAGTGGGATCTGCTAACATGTTTAAAAGGAACTTAGTAAAAGCTGATCTCTAAGCAATAAGACATCAATTTATTTAATCTTTAAGAAATTTTTTTCAATAAATATGTTATTCTTTAAATATTAACATGCTCATTCTGCTTAGATTGTTAAGAATGCTTTTTATTGTTCCTAAAATTTCCCAGTAAGGTGAAATAAAAGATTCAAAGACATGGTAGATGAAATCTCATATTTATAGCATATAGTTTGATTCTCATATATGCATGATCAAATAGTGTCTTTAAATGACAGTTTGATATTTTAAAAATTGTACTTAGAAATGATACTGTGTGCCATTTACTTTAACATTGATATTTTTAGGATTAGCTTTATTAACAGCAGGGATTTTCATGCATTCCTCAATATTATACTAGTTTTAATATTCAGTGTTTAAGTTCAAGTCAACAAATATTCAAGCCGACATGAGAAATGAATTAAATGAGATTACCTTTTTATATAATTGGGTCAATTCTTTATAAGAGTAAAAAGTTAAAATGGGATATAAAAACCTAAATTTCCAATGTTACTGTTAATTCAACCATATGTATTAATTAGGCCACAGGACTGCCCATTAGCCTTTCTTGTCGAAGAGCAATTAATCTCTTGAACCACTTCTCCTCAGCATCAGCTTTCTCAATAAATAACTGAAATAAAAAAAAAAAGAAAAAATGTTATTTTGTACTAATCACTGGGGTTTGACCTTACATGATGCAAAGCACCTTTATGAAATATATCTTTCAGCACAAGATTTGAATACTGTTTAACTCTATGACTTCTTAACTGAAGATCATCTATTTGGAATTAATAATGATCAGATAGCTTTGGATTAAAAGGACTAATATCAACATCATTTGCTTAACAATTTTATACCTTACAAGTGGGGCTGGCGCCAGCAGTAGGTGTGAGCGCCAGGTGGGACCGCAGCATGCAGGAGCAAAGAATTTTTAGTAACCACCAGAGGTTTGCCCCGGTGACAGCGACTGGTGCCCCACCTTGGTCTGGCGCCCCTGCTCACCTGCTCCACCATCCTGCCACGGCCAACACCTATCATTTTCCGTGCACACCCCCTAGTGGTCAGCGACTGGTTGTTCAGTTGTTCCACTGTTCAGACTATTTGCATATTAACCTTTTATTATATAGGATTTTGTGAAGTTTATTTCCTACAATCTTTCTGAGAGACTGAGTGAAATGACAGCATTTCACAGAAGATAGCAAAGTATGTCCATGACAAGTTCATAGTCAATGAACCATCTAAGCTGAGCCTGAATCAGATCTTTTAGTGCCAGATTAAAAACACAACAAAACTCCTCTTTCTGTCCATTTTTCTTAGTCATAGAAATACTTCTTCTAGAAATCAGGCAACATGAATTGGGACATACCACAGTCAAATACATGTAACAGCTCCAGTTGCCTACTTTTAGCAAATTGGAACATATGAATCCATTTCCTTCAATGGTCGTCTTGTTGCCAACACAAAAGGGCAACAGTCTGAATTCATTTCAGTCAACTAGATTTCAACTGACAGTCTTAGGTTTAGGATCTTACGTTTGGGTGAGCCAGAGAATTGTCATCTTGGTACTTGATAGCAGTAGGGATGCTGCTCGGGTCTATTTCTTTTTCATGACTGGGTAGATCAGCAGCTACTGACACTGGTCCTGATGCTGCAGGCACATGCTTCACTTCACTGGCTTCCACCGACTGACATAAAACACATATTATTAATTGCATCACAATATGCAAGTACAAGTCTGCTTTAATAATATTTCTGATTTTGAATAATAATTGCTCAATAGTCTCTTTTGAGATGAAAGTCAACATGAAGAAGCCTTAGTCTATTAAAAACAAAATTATTCCCAAACAAGCAAACAAATACAAAAACATTGGGAAAATGCTTATCATTTCTTATGATCAGCATAATTTTAAGAAATTGGTACTTGGAGTCCATACTATTAAAAAAATATATTTCATATATGTAAATTCTATTACAAAACAAGGTTGCAACAAATCTCCAGCATTTAGTTGGCCTCTTTAAGTATAAAAAGCGAAGTCATAGGTTATTTATTTATTTATTTAAAATAACAGTCTTACTGAGATATAATTCACATATTGAAAATCATATAGCTTTTAGCATACCCAGAGAGTTTTGTAACCGTCACCACAAGCAACTTTAAAACATTTCATCATCCTTTCCAAAACTCCATACCCATTAGAAGTCACTACTCTCCATTTCTTCCCAACCCTTGGCAACCACTAATCTGTCTGTCTTTATGGGTTTGTCTATTCTGGACATTTCATATATAAGAAATCATACAATATGTGTTTTTTAGTGACTGGTTTCTTTCATTTAGCATAATGTTTTCAAGGCTCATCCATGTTATTCACATATCAGTATTTCATTCAGTTTTATTGCTGAATAATACAGGCACCGCGTTAAGGGCTGGGGACAAAAAGGCTAATAAATCATTGTTCCTGCCAGGAAGGAGCCAGCAGTTTGGTGCTAACTCGGGATGGTTCTAATATTTCCTCCCCTAAGAAAGGAGAAAGCCAGGGAAGCAGTTATTAGCAGCAAGGTTTCAGGGATAATATGAAATGGACTAGATGAGAAGTTGAAATTAAAAATTAAAATAAAAAATGAAGATAATTGGGAGATTAATTCAACTTCTTTGCCCCCTTTCTATACCTATTGGTTCTACACCTATTGTTTTTTCAATTTCCATTTTCTTTTTGACCTGTCTATTTCTGAACACTCACTTCTTTAAATGAAGGGAAAAACAGATTTCACTGAGAAAATCATATAGAAAAAAAAATGAAATAGGCATGAATGAGTTAATCCTTTCTTAGAATAACTTATCTTAGAATTAAAAATCCATCTATTTAACCAGTATTTATTAAGTACTACTAACTGTTAAGCACTGAGTATACAAAGAGAATAAAATAGTTATGTTCCCTGTCCCAATTGGAGATTACACTTTCCTAATGGGACTGACAAATTACTAACGAAAAATCCTATCTAATAAAGAGGGAATATGAATGGCGGTGCCATAGCCACACCCCGCCGGGGGAGCAGCAGGCAGGCCGTGCAGCTGGACCCGCCCCCAGGAGTCCTCCAGACCTTTCAGTCCCGCCGGGGGATGGGGGGGTGGGGGTGGGGGTGGGGGCGCGGAGGGCGAGCCGGCAAGTGGGCACCGCAGAGAGCAGACAGCAGGCCCTGCTTGCCCCTCACCTCGCGTTGAGCAGGCAGGCCCTGCAGAGAGCAGAGAACCACAGGGAGCAGGCCTAAGCTATCAGTAGGACATCCCCTGAGGGCTCCCAGGTTGGAGAAGGTGCAGGTTGGGCTGAGGGAACCCCCCCTCCCCGTGCACGAATTTCATGCAGTGGGCCTCTAGTACATAATAATACATATATAAACACAAATTGTAAAAAGCGACATAAGACACATTTAAAGAAATATTTGTTAAATTTGAATTGGAAGTTCTATTCTTATATTTTGGAGCCAATACTTTCCCCCCACAGGTCTCAAATATTTCTATGACTCCAATATACTGGGCCTAGAAGACTCGCAATCCTTATTTAGAAGATATTATACTGACTCTTTATAAAACTGAAGACATAGATTAAACCCAATATTCTGCAAGGAGAAAAATGGGAGTATCCTAATCCAGTGAGGTCCAGGACATCACTGTTTGGTCATCTATGTTGCTGTGCAGAGACTAGAAGAGCATGCCATTCTGCATATCTCGGCCGTTCTTTGATAGGGCTTAGTTAGGAGACTAGCTGTCTGTGTGCAACTGCCTTGAAAAATTGTGGCGTGCTGTTATTCTAATTGCCAAAAGTATGGCAGAGATAATATTTTATTATAAAAACTAAGTAACCTAATTCTATTTTTTACCTTCACTGTACATATTTCTTTGAGAAGTTATGCAAACATAAGTGAAGTTCTCAGAGGTTTGAATCAGAACATGGAAGTTATTATATAATAATACATAATTAAAAATGTGTGAAAACAATCATTAATTGCTTCTTTATTTAAGTGAAGAAAATAAAATTTGATGATTTAAAAACCCTCAACATGGCCACTATCAAACATCCGTCTTTGAACAGTACTGCCACCTAGTGGTTCAGTTTGGAAAAAATTGTTTTCAAATTGTACTTCAAGTTAAAGAACAAATTACCCTCTTTTTAAACAGAGGCGGATATCTGCCAGATATAACAATTTAAGGGATGAATAACTGGTAATATTATTATGGAAAGCAGTCTGAAAACAAGCTGCATCTTGTTCCTGATGTTGATGATATACCGGGAGCTATTAGATTACTCACAAGAGAAACATGATTGCAGAGGGTGACACTAGTCCAATCGATAAGTGTTGCAGACGACACTGTGTCTAGCATGTCATTAGTAACAGCCACTTTTCTGGTAACGGCTCCCTAGCTGAATTAGTGGAATTAACATTGCTAAAGACTCTACCAACTGAAAGGGTGGATAGTATAGAAAAGCCTTTTTTAGATATAAACTTTATACCAATGAGTGTAGAACTTTCCAGGAGAGAAAGATGTTGAAACTTGGGTTGTGGGTAATATAGTCCTCAAGAGAGTCTTTGCTATGCATCAGGGATACCCCATCACCTCTCCCATGATCTGGATTAAACAGTACTCAAGATAATTTACCTCCCTGTGCTAAGTAATCTCCTAATAAATAATTCAGCTTTGTGGGCATCCTGAATTCCTACTATATACTGGAGACACAGACATTTTAGAAACTAAAAAAAGAATATCACTTTCTAAACTAAGATTGGTCCTGTTTTATATTGCAGTCGAATGTGAATTTATTCACTGTTGGCCCATCACTGCTTTTCTGATAATTTTGAAATGCAGCGACTAATAAAAGTCCAGTGTTGTATAGCTAATCCTATTTACATTCACCAAGGTAAACGCCATCTTCCGAGGCTTTTTAGCATATTACCCTGTTGGTACCACTTACTATATTTCAATGCATGCTTTCTTTATATTACAACAGGGAAGGTTCATTGCGTTCACAATTACTAGACATTTGATAATAGGAAAAAGAGGCTCTGGAGTTGGACAAATTTGATTTAGATGCTGCTTCTTGTCATTTACTAGCAGTTTGACCATGGTTATAAAATTTGCTGAGCTTCAGCTTCCTTAGCTATAAATAAGGGTTATTGGGATATTAGATAAATTATATATGCTAAATGTCTGGTATTAATGGCAGCCATGTAAGTTAAATTTAAAAAGTGGGGCTAGGATACAACATTGTTTCTCATAATTTGCTCAGTGCTTTAATGTTTTCAAATTGCTGTGTTGAAACAAACTAGTCCAAAGCTGATGCCTATACAGGAAACCAGCACATTTAAAGCTACATAAAGCTCTGAAGTAATTTTTAACTATTTTGCTAGTAATACAATAGGTCAACAAGCCTCAAATATGGAGAATTTTAAGGTATAGAAACCATAAAAAATTACAACAATCTCTGGTCCAACCACAATGGGAATCCTTGTACCTACAATTCCTCTTTAGGAAGCCATCGACAAATATATCCCTCAGTGTTCAGTAAGAGGAGGAGGTGGGGCAGGAGCAGGAGAAGAAGAGTAGTAAACAGCTTTCATTTCTGGAGTCTTCCTGTGTGCCAGGCACTTGGCTAACTGTTCTACATACAGTATCTTGTTTATCTTTTAAAGACCTCTGCCATGGGTATTATCCCCATTTGAAGATAAGAAAGCCAAGGTTTAATAAGGTTATATAGTTTAAGGATGTAGATAGTAAATAGAATCAGAATGTGTTTCCAAGTCTGCCTGACTCTACATTTTATGCTTTTTGACCACTGCTTCCCAATTGCTATACCCAAGATGTCTGCAAGTTGGTTCTGCTTTTGGAGGAAAGAAATAAAAATGTTGGTAAAATATTTTAACTAAATACATTTCTAACGGACTCAACTCAAAGTGCTGAATTAATAACATTTCTAGGCTATTTTTGCTTTTCTGTCATACTTATCCAACCTAAAACTAGCTATTTCTAGGGTTTCCAGAATTGATTTTATTGCTTTTTATGATCATTGTGAAGGGAAAACTATTTTAAAAATAGTTGAAACAGAAGATGGGCTTCCTTCACATAGATTTAAAAAGGTTCCTTGTGGAGGCAGAGGCCCCTGCTCCATCTTGGTTCTCTCAGTCATTAACTTATGTATACATGTAGAATATTTTTGAGTAATTGGTAAGTATATCATGTCTTTGTCAGATGTGTTACTAAAGATTACATGTATTTTCATAGTAAAATGTCTTTTCCTACCAAAGAAACATATATTCCCAAAAGCAGCCTTAATTAAGACTGAAAGCACATACAAAATATTCAATAGAAATAAAATGCTAATCAAAGCCCCTTTTACTAGATACCCATCTGACAAGAGTATAGATATATGTTACTATTTGGGTATAATTTCATTGTTAAAGGCCTTTTCTAACTTTTCTCTAGCAATGCGAATTCAAAAAGTAGATACCAGTATTTACGCTTGAAAGGAAAATCATGTATTATGTTCATGAAATGCATATTATTGTTGTAGAACTGTGTTGACATTTTACTTGGTCTTTTCAGTGAATGTTAAAATAAAAATGGCATCAGACACATTTTTACAGTATATTTTTTGACAAATTTAACTTAAACTGATTCTCACTGGTTCATTCTCTCTCTCTCAATAACATGCTGACACTCTCTCACCCTACTTCATCTATCTGTTAGCAGAAGCTCTTACATTTAAGTGAAATCCATTAATAAAGCATCTCTTCAGTTGGAATCTAAAGGTTTATTCATAATACCTGGATGAAAACTTACCTTTTTGACTTCTTTACTTGATCTGAATGTCTGCTGAACAAAAGAATCACTTTCAATGGCTTCAATTTCTTTTACTCTTTTTACTTGTTCTACCAGGGTGGTTTGGTCTAAAAAAAAGGGGGGGGGGAATTGTCAGTGTATTTTTTGGCATATAAACTTGTTAACGACACTACACCTAAGCGGAGTTCTTTATTTCTATGAAGTAATTTTAACTCACAAAATTTAACTGGATGAAAAGAAAAATTTAACTGGATGAAAAGCTATAGTAATAGTTAGGCTACAGCAAGAAACCTTTCTTCCCCTATGATCTGCAAGCATAATGTCCCTACATACTAAGACTTTCACCTAAAACGTAAAATATTGCTGAGAAGGCACTGCTGTTAATGATCTAAGCCAATCTGGGCTAATCTGGTGGGAGAACTTTTAAAAAACAAGTGAAAAAAAAATACCCTCATTATTTTGAAAATACACATAAAACTAAAATAAGAACACAATAAATCCACCTGTACTCACCATCCAGCTTCTATAATCATTAACTTTCTATTATTCTTAATTAATCTATCCATCACACTTCAGTGTGTATGTGTGTTCTGGTAGACCAGGAGTAAAGTAAATCCTGGATATCATACCATGTTACCACTAAATATTTCAGTAGGCATCTCAGATAGGGCTTAAGAAAAAAAATTAAAAATAGCACCATAACAATACCATCTTCATATCCAACAATATTACCAACTAGAGGCCCTATGCACGAAATCTGTGTAAGAGTAGGCCTTCGCAGCCCCAGCTTAGTCTGAATTTGGATGGTCGTTCTGCTGTTTTATCGATTTGCATGTTACGCTTTTATTATTATAGATAATTCTCTTAATATCATCTTATACAGTCCATGTTTAATTTTCACAAATGTCCAAAAACATGTCTTTTTATAGTTGGCTTGTTTGGAACAGGATCCCAACAAGGTCTACACATTACACTTGGTCAATAAGTATCTTAAATCTCTTTTAATCACGTCCTGTCCACTGTCTTTCCTTTCATTGCCATTTATTTATGGAAGAAACCAGATCATTTATCCTTTAACAATTTCCACATTCTGGGTCTGACTAATTTTTATTCTCATGGTGTCATTTTACATGTTCCTTTACCCTTTGTAGTTTGTGTAAACCAGTAGTTAGATCTAGATTCAGTTTCAATTTCTTCTGACCAAGAATACATCAAAGGTGGTGCTGTGCAATCCTATCACATCATATCAGGATGCGCTTCTCCCACTTTCAGTGAGGCTAAGATTGAGCAGTGGGTCCAAGGTGTTGTCAGCCTGACCCTTCTGTTATGAAGTTCTTTATGACCTTTCATTGAAAGGTTTTAGCAGATATCAATGTTTGCTGCTTAGATCTATCATTGCACAAGAGGTTGAAACTGGTGATTTCTAATTCTATTATTCTTCCTGCATTTATTAGCTCTAATTCCTCTATAATGAAGACCTTGCCTCATTGACGACTTGGTGATTGTAAAATATAGTCTAAACAGGAAAAGGCATAATGTATTTTCAATTATTTCCCTCTATTAACTTTGATACAAAGATGACCAATATGAGTTAACATTTGTATTTTTAATGTATTTTAGTCCATGGTAGTTGTTTTCATATTTTAAATTAGTCTACTTCTTCAGGTTGGTTTCTGCATCCTTTCGATATGATCTCTAGTAGTTAAGGTTTGAAAAGATGTTCCAGGCTCATTTAATAGTTTCCATCCAGGACTTGAAATTAGCTGTATCTCCAAAGACCCTGGGCTCCTTTTAGTGAGGAATGGTATCGAGAGAGAATAGCCTGGGCAGCAGGGGTGCTCACTGCGACTGTATTGCCATTGCTTCTCAGCCTTGTCAGTGGGTGGGAGAGGAAATACAAGTACTCCCTCTGCTTAAAGTTCCCATCACTCCACTCCACTTTTACAAAAGATCTACATTAGTACATGCTTTTGTTAACTGAAAAATCTGAAGAGGATTTCACTTTTATGGAAAAGGCAAAAGTGAAAATAACATTCAGCTTTTGTTTTGCAGCGAGAGCCAGAGCCAACACTCCCATCTTTGGAAGAATATATTTTCCCACATAAAAGCAAGCACTGTTAAGTATCATGGAAGACCTAATAGCTCCACATGCTTTAGAATAAAAGCTCCTGTGGATTTTAATTATGCAATGTACTAATTGAGCATGTGAAATGAGAGATTCTTTGCTCAGTGAATTTATTAATATTAACACATCCCATACCAGTGGATAGCATGTTTATTAGTGTTAATATAGCAGAGAAAAATTATCATGTGTACCATTCCACATGATCCAACTTTAATTTGCCAATATGAAAACAATTTGTCTGTATAGGTCTTCATTATCTCTCTATTATTTCAAAATCACTAATTCCCAAGCGAAGTCAAATATTTCTGACTTCAGGATATCTCATATGTATCAACTGTTTGACCCCTTGGAATTTTCCTTAACATATTCTCTCATTCGGATTTACAAAGCACGTCATTAGTATTAAATGTCAGAGGTGAGCTCACCAACAGTACTTGCTGTATAAAGCTTATAGTGTTCATAGATTTAAATATGGACATACAACCAGCAAGTATGTTTAACAAAATAGCACTGGAGAAATTATAAAGAAAGGAAGGAGAAAGATTAGAGAAAACCAGAACATGATCTCTGGGTTTTTCAGTGATCATCCAGGACTAACAGTGACAAGCAGATAGGGGAAAGCCAGTTTGCCTGACTTACAATCTGAAAATAAACCAGCAAAGCTTTTGCCTTTCCATGTGGGAACCATTTTATGGGTGGTATTTAAACTAAAGAGTATGATACTTAAATTAAAGAGTAAAAGTGATATTTAAATTAAAGATTGTAAGATTCATGGGAGATTTACATTTTCAGTCTCATAATAGCTCAGCTCCATGCTGTCTAAAAACAACAGGCATAAAAATGTTTACATTGTTTCACACTCGAAATTCTAATACCAATGTCCACAAATGTATGCCTTGAGTATAACCCTGTCATTTTTGGCAGCAGAATAAAGCACATTGATAATATATACTAAATAATTTCAAACTGAGGTTAAGCTATATATGCCAATTTGTCATTTTAAAATCCCGTGCCAATTGTAAGACTGAGAAAAACGTGAGTGAAAACTAGTTATTGTTTATATACTTGGCATGAATGCCTAGCATACAAAGTATCTTGCATTCATCAACCATGAGGTAAACATAAGTGACAAAGTTACTGGGAGAATTAAAATTATAGGATTAAAAAATATTAACGTGGTAAATATGGAGGAAACATCTAGCACTTGATGCTTTTTGATAAACATACCATTGGTAAATATAATGACTTTCATAGGCTGTCTGTAAGATGTCAGTAGAAGGGAGACATACTTCATAGTATTAAAATAACAAATAATTGAGTCAGAAAGCTAAGTCACTATAGACTACAACAATCAATACTAACTCACTGCATGGAAAATCATTTTGTTTCTTTTGTGATGAAAAATTAAAATCAAAAAGCTTATTAGTTACCACTGATGTTATATTATAAAAATTAGGCTCATCTGCTACTTCGTTATATATTTGACAATTTTACATGTTACAACATTTACAGAATTTTCTTTTAAAATGTTATCAAAAAATGTACACATTTAAAATTAGTAAATCAAGATGACAAAGTCCAATATAAACCTTTTATTTGAAAAGATAAAATTTTAATCTGTATGCCATTTATAGACAATAAACATAAATAGATCTCTAAACTGGCAGCAGTGCTAGGCTGAACACAGCAGATGGCACTATTACCCAAGACGTAATCATGGAATAAAAGAATGGGAGTTTCATGGAAGGTATCTCACACATGAAAATCTCATCTTCAACTGACTCCTTCTGAATATTAATATTTTATGAATTTATCCAAAGTTAAAATGCATTTTATGTTACAAAGAGTTTGGGTTGGTTGGCCTCATAGTTATTGAGTTACTTATGCTACTTTACTCTTCTCTTCCAGGAAAAAAAATTTATATACTAATAGCACTGCTACAAATCCATAAATAATACAAAAGGATTTCTTCAGTTTAAACTGACTTAAATTTTCATCAAGAATGCAAATATCCTTGAAATTCCTTTTTAGAGTAAAATATACATACTGAACACAAAACATGCAAGTACTGAAATGTGAGGCATTTTCAAGAATGAAAAAAGCAAACAGTATCAAATTGGCTATTCAATGAATGAATGAATGAATGAATGAATAAATAAAGCTATTCAACAAAATCTATAAACAAATAAAATATCCCATAAAACTTACTTGAAATTTTAGTTATTAAAATAATTTCCTATGAGCACAAATTTTAACAGAAGACAGTCACTGCTTTGTCTTTTAAAACAAAGCATACAAAGTACATGTCAGAAATTCATCCAACCCTAACATTTTAAGGGTGTGTTCATAAGTCCCATATCCCTAGGGCATAAATTTTCAGAACCGATGCCCACAAATAATTTGAAAGGTGAGAAAACTTCTTCAGTAGAATGTGGCTTCTTTGTTAGTTTTCTGGAAGCTTATGACACAGAACCAAGTTCCATATGTTGATGAGGCTCCTGAAGTGTCTCTAACAGCAGCCCCCCTTGGATAGACTCCCAGACAGACGCATCTTACATTAAACTGTTTTCCATATCAGATTTGGTCACAGGAGTGACTTTAATGTGGACGTACCAGTGAAGAATTTCTGATAGACGTTTCAACAAGTGCGAGTGAACTGGGTACCAGGCGAGGCTTTATTAAAAATAAAACCACACTGAGCCTCATTTAGCTCCTCTCACCTAGAATGCTCTCAACTTTTCTGAGTCCTTCCTGTCATTTTAGGCCATCCTTTTGGTGATGCTTTCCCTTGCCACCTGTGAGGAAAGGGGTCTCTTCCCTAACTCGTTTGGCTTTCCCCATATGTTGCCTTGCACTGATAGTAATCTCTTCAAGAGTGAAAGCTTAATTTCTCCAACTATAGGAGACATACCTTTTTGTGTCAATTTAGGACTTAGTGTAGTATGCTTTACTATTTGGTAAGCTGTCAATACACATTTGTTG